TATTCTCAAAGAACTCAAAGAAACATCAACACAACCACGTGTTGTTTATCGACAAGCAGGTGATCATTACATTCTCATTGAATATGGATCAATGAATTTAGATTTACATCATCGATTTCGAATTCATTTTCTTATGGAACAACTTGAAAAAGAGAAAATCCAAGGAATTCAAGAAATTTCTCCTGGCGTTTCTTCACTTCAAATTCATTTCGATGGAAAAATTCTTCATCAACAACTTTTAATCGAGAAATTAATTGAAATTGAACAAAATTTATTTTCAAATCAAACAAATTTACGAATTCAATCACGAATTCTTTATTTACCTTTGACTTTTCAAGATTCAACAACACTCAACGCTGTTCAACGTTACCAACAAACTGTTCGACACCATGCGCCTTATTTACCAAATAATGTTGATTTTATTCAACGAATTAATGGACTTCAATCAACAGAAGATGTTCGACAAATCGTTTTTAATTCTTCTTATCTTATTCTCGGACTGGGTGATGTTTATCTTGGTGCTCCATGTGCAATTCCAATTGATCCAAGACATCGTTTAGTTACTTCGAAATATAATCCAGCAAGAACGTTTACTCCCGAGGGAACTGTTGGTATTGGTGGAGTTTATTTATGTATTTATGGAATGGATTCACCTGGTGGTTATCAACTTATTGGAAGAACTTTACCCATTTTCAACACTTTCTGTCAAAATCAAATGTTCAAAGATCAAAAACCTTGGCTTTTCAGATTTTTTGACCAAATCCGATTTTATCCTGTTGATGAAAATCAATTAGAAATTCAAAGAGAAGATTTTCGACATGGAAAATTACAAATTAAAATCATTGAAGACAACTTTTTTTATTTAAATCAATATGATGAATTTCTTCAAAAAGAAAAACAAAGTATCGATTTATTTCTTCATAAAAGAGACGAAGCTTTTAACAAAGAAATTTCTCTTTGGAAAAATTATGAACAAAATCAAATTGAAACAACAATTTCAACAGAAATTCTACAAGAAATAGAAGAAGAAAATGAAAATATTAAAACGATTCGTGCAGATATTTGTGGAAATGTTTGGAAAATTTTAATCGAAACAAATCAATTCGTCAATGTTGATACTCCAATTCTGATTCTTGAAGCAATGAAAATGGAATTAATCATTCGATCACCTTTTCAAGGTCAAATCATCAATATTCATTGTCAAATTGGACAACTTGTCTCTAATAATGATATTCTTTTCAAAATTCAATCGACATGATTTCCTTTTCTCTTTCATTTTTTATGTAAATCATTTTAATTTAAATTAAATATCGATTCTACTCAATTATCTTCTTTCTTCTCTCATTGACATATTCGTAAGATGATACGATGTACATAACATGGTGACAGGATGTAGATATTATCATCCAACGTCATATGCATTGAATAGGAAAACCTTCAATGAGATTACAGTGAGAATCAACATGATGTCTTTTCATGATTCGACATTTATCAATGTCAACATGGCACCTCCAAAGAATGACGATGTGCCTTTTTTCACTTGGAAGGTGTTGTAGTTGGAGTGAATATTTTAAAGCAAAGAAAATTACAAAAGTTTACTTTGTTGTTGTTTTCTTGTATTATTTGATGGTTCTCGCAGATTAGTTTGAAAAAAAATCTATTCGAAAAAATGGTTAGATTTGTTGAGTTTTTATCAAAGGATAAATATTCTCTTAAATATTCGCTCGAACGATACGCATAAATGAATTGTAGACAGGAAAGTCTTTCCAACATTTTCAAAACGATATTGTAATCAACGCATTGCAAGTGAATTTATTAAGAAGAGATCATAATAATGTTATTTCTCGTATACTTCCTCAAATCAATATGTACATAAGAAAAACATTTGATTGAGAATGCTCAGAAATAACTCTAATTGTCATACACTTTTCGTTCTATAGTGGATTTTTACTCGTTCATCGGTGGAGGTAACCATATACTTGTAGTTTTATGAATCGATTTGTGGAAGTTTCAACAAGAAATACAATGTCTCTTTCTCTGTTGAAATCATTCGAATTGATGAGTGTCCAGTTTAATCAAAGCATTTCATATGAATTTGGCTAAATAGTCAGACATTAATGGACACGTTTGTCGAGTCAAGTCATCAAGAAAGATCGTTTTGTTGTGTCAGAAATAGACGAATAATCTTACGATCAAATGTCTTCGTTTGCTCGTTAATCTGATCTGTTTTCGATCGAATGAAAGAGAGAGGTCAACAAATATTAGATTGACAAATACTTGAAATATTTCGTTTTTTTCAAACTTTCTTTGTCGATAATTTAGTCTATCTGAATTTCTCTTGTTGAATTCTTGACGTGATGACAACGAGTTTTATAAACTCAACATCGAAATTACCCAATGCAATCGACTGTATTAGATTAGTATTCATCAGAGAAACATCGACATATCTAGGATCTATGATGAGGCTATTTGTCACTTTTATATAGAATTTCATCCCGATAAGGTAGTCGTTCTGACACTATGGACAGCATTAGCGTCGTCTGTAAATACAAATTATTCACAGTCAATATATATATATAGGACATCAAAATAGGAAACTGACTCTTTATTGTACGAGGAATTATGCTACGGTGTTCGCCGTTGAGATTTCTTTANTTGATTTTATTCAACGAATTAATGGACTTCAATCAACAGAAGATGTTCGACAAATCGTTTTTAATTCTTCTTATCTTATTCTCGGACTGGGTGATGTTTATCTTGGTGCTCCATGTGCAATTCCAATTGATCCAAGACATCGTTTAGTTACTTCGAAATATAATCCAGCAAGAACGTTTACTCCCGAGGGAACTGTTGGCATTGGTGGAGTTTATTTATGTATTTATGGAATGGATTCACCTGGTGGTTATCAACTTATTGGAAGAACTTTACCTATTTTTAATACTTTCTGTCAAAATCAAATGTTCAAAGATCAAAAACCTTGGCTTTTCAGATTTTTTGACCAAATCAGATTTTATCCTGTTGATGAAAATCAATTAGAAATTCAAAGAGAAGATTTTCGACATGGAAAATTACAAATCAAAATCATTGAAGACAACTTTTTTGATTTAAATCAATATGATGAATTTCTTCAGAAAGAAAAACAAAGCATCGATTTATTTCTTCACAAAAGAGACGAAGCTTTTAACAAAGAAATTTCTCTTTGGAAAAATTATGAACAAGATCAAACTCAAACAACAATTTCAACAGAAATTCCACAAGAAATAGAAGAAGAAGATGAAGAAAATGAAAATATAAAAACGATTCGTGCAGATGTTTGTGGAAATGTTTGGAAAATTTTAATCGAAACAAACCAATTGGTCAATGTTGATACTCCAATTCTTATTCTTGAAGCAATGAAAATGGAATTAATCATTCGATCACCTTGTCAAGGTCAAATCATCAATATTCGTTGTCAAATTGGACAACTTGTTTCAAATAATGACATTCTTTTCAAAATTCAATCTACGTGATTTCCTTTTCTCTTTCATTTTTCATGTAAATCATTTTTAATTTAAATCAAATATCGATTCTACTCAATTATCTTCTTTCTTCTCTCATTGACATATTCATAAGATGATACGATGTACATAAAATGATGACAGGATGTAGATATTATCATCCAACGCCATATGAAATTACAGTGAGAATCAACATGATGTTTTTTCATGATTTGAACTCAAAAACATCAAGTTATTATGTATTTACTAAATACAACATCTCCAAATCATATTACATTGTTTTTGTCAATATTACAACTTCAAAGAATGGTCATGTCTCTTTGTTTTTCACTTGAAAAGTGTTGAAGTTGGAATAAATATCTTAAAGCAAAGAAAATTACAAAGGTTCACTTTGTTGTTGTTTTCTTCATATTATTTGATGGTTCTCACAGATTAGTTTGAAAAGAATCTATTCGAAATAACATTCGAATTGATGAGTGTTCATTCAGTTTAATCAATGCATTTCATACGAATTTGTGTAGAGGGTCAAACAGTAACAGACATGTTTGTGAAGTCAAGTCATCAACAAAGATCGTTTTGTTATCAGAAATAGATGAATAATCTTACGATCAAATTTCTTCTTTTGTTCGTTAATCTGATCTGTTTTCGATCGATTGAGAGAGAAAGATCAACAAAGATTATAGATTGACAAATACTTGAAAATTTTCGTTCTAAACTCAAGATCGAAATTACCCAATGAAATCGACTGTATTAGATTAGTATTCATCAGAGAAACATCGACATACTTAGAATCTATGATGAGGCTATTTGTCACTTTTAGACAGAACTTCATCCCGATAAGGTAGTCGTTCTGACACTATGGACAGCATTAGCATAGTCTGTAAATACAAATTATTCACAGTCAAAATCCAACACAATATTTCTTTGAGATTCTAAAATCCCTAACCATTTTTATCACACTTTCTTTTGCTAGAAGTGCGTAGTCAGATCAGAATCGACATATATATATATAGGACATCAAAATAGGAAACTGACTCTTTATTGTACGAGGAATGATGCTACGGTGTTCGCCGTTGAGATTTCTTTATTTATACGCTTTCTTACAGCAGAATCAAACTGATTAAAACAGACAGCTTCTATTATTCACAAAAAATAATATACTTCTCAGTTGAATTCACCGCAGCACCTTCTCATAATAACAACGAGATCAATATTGCTTTCTTTTATTTTTCGCTTTCGACATACAATCTCAACATATCTAGCACATCACTTTTCTTCTGTTTTTGTTTCTTCGTGTAGCCTTACGGTAGAAAACATGTTCGGAACTCGTCACCAGACTGAGAACAATCCACATGGATCTTCTGCTGAATGTCGCAAAACAGCGTTAGTAATCGGTAACAGTCTTTATCATAGAAATTCCAAATTAAATAATACAGTGAACGATGCAAATGGAATGTGTGACGCTCTACAATCGGTTGGTTTCAAAGTGTCGNACAGCAGAATTTGGATAGAGTTCTATTCACCTTACCTTTTAGTTTGATGGAAACTATCACATGGCTGTACATGTCAAGCAGAATTCTATTTGAATTACTTGCTAAATCGATACCTTGACGTATGAATGTGAATCAAGCACCATCGTATAGAATGACGGGAAAATGTGCTGTGTAACAGATTCTGTTGAGCATAGCGTAGTGTCAGATTAATATTCATAAAAATTCTGAATTGTACAATTGCTGGAGATTTCTTATGAGAATATCAATGCTTTATCTACTTGATTCGGTCTTTGAGTGAAGTGAAACTCTACAGATATGTTCGGCAGTATCACCATCCGTCTGTATTTGGAGAGTTTTCTTCAAGAATTTGTTCGGTGAGAACACGTAAAACTTCATCATTATTGCTCGTGAACGTTAACTCTACCTCGTATATTTGCTCATTTGCATTCTTAGGTTAAACGTCCACTATGCGAAAGATGAAGATGGTATGTATAGAAAAGAGTATGCCATCTTTTTCTACAAATTAACTGAGATGGCGAACCGAAGCAAATGGTATTGTTGATTGTTTGGAATCAATTTCTATTACAGATAAAATGTTCATTATATCATTGATGTTTCCCTTTATTGGCGCAAAAAGTAAAGAAATGTTGTCTTTTCTATTAGTGGACAAGAAATGATTGAATGCTATGAGTCCACCCTTCGATCTCACCAATTCTTCGAAGTCTTTCATTCTTCTTCAAATTTTGACCACGATAAACTGTGAACGTTCCAGCAACAGAGACATCTCCATACTGTTGTGAGTGCAGTTGTTCGATTTGTCGATGAAGATCACCGATGAATAAACCCATCAATGTAAGCACCTCACCATTCATCACCGGCAGAGCACAATTCAAAGTGCTGCATAGAAATCACTAAGTCGTATACGACCAAATGACTATTTCCTTACGATATTCATACTCCAGTTGCCTTCACTTTCTTTCCGATCGATTTCATTGTTCACAAATGTCTCGTAGTAATAGTCGTCATCGAATTCTTTGATAATTTGCATGTACATAAATGAAGGATCTAGTCGATCTGGCTTTCTACCAGGTTTTACAACTCTCATTGGAATTGCATTGTGTTCATATTGACGAGCTGTTTGTTCACAAACATGTGTGATGTCTACAAAGGCACCTTTTACCTTATAATTACCACTTCGATATCCATTGTTCATGTCGATTTTTATTAGCATAAAAGACGCAAAATTGAATCGATTTGCGGTATGTCATGAATACACAGTTGTTGATCGTGTAGTTGAAAATGTAATTGTAAAAATTGATTATACATCTGATCCATTATTGAATATATCTGATTTGGTTTGCATTATCAATTGAAATTGTCTCACTGATGATCAAAAAGAAATTGAAAAGAAACAGGAAAAATTATTTAATATAATATAAAGCTTTATGTTAGTCGAGAACTATAGTTTTTGATTACATCACTGTAGTGTAAATAAATAAATAAATATAATATTAGAGTAATGAATGGTATTCATTTTCATTCACACGTTCATCTTACATCACTATTCAAAATGTGATCATATCTCATATTTATGTGTAGACATTTCTTTTTTCTTTTTGAGTAGATGAATTATTAATTCTAAATTAATCAATCGCATGGCTATAGATTCACTTCTGGAATTCATTGTAATAAGAGCTGAAAGAAATTGANGTGTAAATAAATAAATAAATATAATATTAGAGTAATGAATGGTATTCATTTTCATTCACACGTTCATCTTACATCACTATTCAAAATGTGATCATATCTCATATTTATGTGTAGACATTTCTTTTTTCTTTTTGAGTAGATGAATTATTAATTCTAAATTAATCAATCGCATGGCTATAGATTCACTTCTTGAATTCATTGTAATAAGAGCTGAAACAAATAGAACGAAATAAAACTGAATTACACCAATACAATTCACATTACTATGTGAAATAGACAATAATGTTCCTTAATTCCCCTTGATTTATAGCTTGTCTGTTTGACCCCTCATATTAAAAACGTCTCTCTTATATATATATATATATATATATATATATATATATATATATGAGTTCGATTGTTTGGAAAATTATAAGTGACGAGGAGCATGAAGAATTCTGATGTTAGTCTTATTGACTTACCGAATGAGATTTTGCCACTTATTTTCAAGAAGCTTGGCAACATCGATTTGTTATATTCACTTGTTGGCATCAATCAACGACTCGATAATGTTTTATGCAGTATTGATTTTACTCGTGCTATTGATTTCGAGAAGATATCATCCGAAGAAAAGGATAAATCGAAATCAGAGACAATACTTGATCGATTTTGTTGTCATATATTACCGAAAATTCATGAATACGTTGAATGTTTTACCCTATACTAACTTATACAAACTCACACTCGTCAATTTTGAACTGAATATAGGGCTTCTCATATCTTTCGTGGTATGTATTCTAATCCAACAGAATTTTCGAAATGTACAATAATCTTGTCCATGTATGGTACTCTTTAGAGAAGTCTTCCTTGGTGCAAACATTTCAGCACCAAATTACACATCTGGGAGTAATGTTCATCGATTATGTATTAATTGATAATTATGTCAATATTTTTGCTTTGTTTACAAATCTGAAATACTTGGAGTTGGGTGTGAGCCAGTTTTACTCATTTATACCAACGTTGTTCAGTCCTGCGTCTTCACTTCAGTGTTTTTCGTCGAGTGTCACTACCATTTACGTATGAAACTAAACAATTTTGACGATTGTCTTTATCTGCATGATGGTGGCTAAAGCCAATTGCATACATTTATTATCAATCTTGATTACATTCATGAGTCGGCAAAAGGGTCAGGGTGGGTGTGAGGCTGTGGGTAAGTGAAAATCTTTTTATAATTGGAATCAATAGAGCTCGTCGGGTTGTATCTGGAATAGGTGTTGAAATAGTAACCAGAAGTGAAACAACCAATCCATGCGCGTTTTTCTCAAAATTTTCATCTTTTCTAAAGGTTTCTTTTGTAATTTTTACGGATATGGAAGGATATTCCACGGAATATGTTGTTCTTTGGAATATATCGAACTCACCGAGTTCCACCTCGAACAAATGTTATCCGAGTAGCAATACACATCCGCGAATTCGTTCAAGAAAAGGTCGAATGCGTGTCCAAGATATCTTACATGTTTTTTCTCTGGTCTCCATGTATGATCATAAAATACATAAGGTTTCCGTGCAATTTTCCCTCTTGTTGTTGATAGAACTCGAAATGGAAAATTATGTGCACGAAGAGCTATGGGATCATCTCCAGTAGACGGACGACCGGTGGAATTTTTACGTCCCGCGTCTCTTTCGATCACTAGTTGAATCGCTTCATTCCAACCAAAATACGCGATGCAGCAAGGTCCCAACGCGAGAGAGAGCGCGCACATAACGCACGCATAGCTATACGGAACAATGCCGCCGCGGTATTACTAAAACAACCAAAACACAGAGGAATCTATTCGATAAAGCCTAAATACTATTACCATCACGATAGTAGCTGCAAAGTTTGACTACGCATATATGCGTCCCCCCCGACGCCAAACAGCTCAAAAAGCACATCTATATCATACCGCTTTATTCTCAGAATATCAACAACCCAAACAGTACACCACCATAAAAAAGAAATTCTCTTAACATCACACAAAATCTCTACACACCAAAACCGCAACCTATACCGCTACAGCATCGAAACACAACAAAGTCTAATACTGAAAACTAAAATCCAAACCCCATCTCATACTCAAAATGTCGTGCTCGATGTAGTTCCGCTGGTACTTGAAGTAGATACCGTTGTTGTACTATTCACCATTCCGTTGCCCCAAGGGCTTGTGGTACTTGTGATCGTCGACGTAGTACTCGTGGCTGAAGTCGTTGTACCATTCATGGCTCCGTTCCCACCGGGATTCGCGGTAGTTGTGATCGTCGACGTAGTACTCGTCGTTGAAGTTGTTGTACCATTCATCGTTGCGTTGCCCCATGGGCTTGTGGTAGTTGTGCTAGTCGATGTAGTACTCGTCGTTGAAGTTGTTGTACCATTCATCGTTGCGTTGCTCCATGGGCTTGTGGTAGTTGTGGTGGCAGATGTAGTACTCGTCGTTGAAGTTGTTGTACCATTCATCGTTGCGTTGCTCCATGGGCTTGTGGTACTTGTGCTAGTCGATGTGGTACTCGTGGTTGACGTCGTTGTACCATTCATTGTTGCGTTGCCCCATGGGCTTGTGGTAGTTGTGGTGGCAGATGTAGTACTCGTGGTTGAAGTCGTTGTACCATTCATCGTTGCGTTGCTCCATGGGCTTGTGGTAGTTGTGGTGGTCGACGTAATACTCGTGGTGGAAGTCGTGGTGGTGAAGTTGGTTGTGGGAATAGTGCCGTTAACCCGTAGGTTTTTTGTACTGGTGGGCGCTGTAAACAGGTTATATGGTTTAGAGAGACGGCTGAATTTAAAATTTACTTACGTTGTGTTGTACGCGTTAGTATGACAACTGTTGGTACGGTTACGACGGTTACTATAACTAGTGTTGCGACGACGGCGAGTGCGATGAGAATGCATGGATTTGCCATGTGTAGTGGTGATTAATGTAGATTTTCTGTGAGAATTCGTATACGCAGTATCTATGAAGAACTGTTGGAAGAAATGTTGGTGCTGTTGGGGAATGTTTTGTTTGGAAATGAAGCGGTGTAAGTGGTAGGAATGAGTAAATGGTAATGCGGTGGGAGGCTAAGCTTTAAGGATACATTTCGTTCGGTGGGCGCAGCTGGAGTAGTGGAAAAGTGGAAGGCAGTGTACAGTGGAGGATAGAAGTTTGAGCGAATATATTTTTTCATGTTTTTTAATGCAGCGAAGGACTTCTGTCAGATCTATAAAATAGTTTTAGAAGCTTGTGATGTCTAGTCTGTGATCCTATATAAATCAAGGTTCCATAGACGATGTAAGGTAGAAATACTGTTACAGAGCCGAATGCAGTAGTTTTCATGTACTAAAAGACTTTCGCGGCTATATTTTCTCGCACTGCAGTCTTGAAGAGCATATAATTCTGTGCAGACTAAGAGGTCGCCGCATTTTCAACCACCTTCTCTCAAAAAGTTATTAGCATCACAAAAGGCGCAAAATTGAAATTATTTTCAAAAGAATACTCGAAATGACCGAAAACGAGCCTTTTTTCGATTATTGTAGTTTCTACAACTTTTCCAGAGAAGGTGGTAGAAAATGCGGCGACCTCTTATTTGGCTCAGAGTTTTATGCTCTGCAAGATTGCAGTTCGAGAAAATGTAGCCGAGAAAGTATTTTAGTATATGAAAACCAATGCATTGTGCTCTGTAACAGTATTTCTACCTTACATCGTCTATGGAGCCTTGATTTATATAGGATCGCATAGTAGACATCACAAGCTCCTAAAGCTATTTTATAGATCTGACAGAAGTACTTCGCTGTATTAAAAAAAAGGAAAAAATATATTCGCTTAAACTTTTGTCGTGCACTGCATGTTTTAGAAGCGGGGACGTATATAAGAATAAAGAAGCGTAGGATAGTGGGCGGTGACAAAGTCAGTTCGGAATCTCTTTCGAGAGTCTGTCCATCTTTCATCATTAGGATGCTGTGTTGTTTGATAACACTAGAGATATTCTCTTTACTGCGGCTTGGAGAATTGAAGAGGTGTTCCTAGAGTTTTTGATTTAATTAAAGAATGTATTAGAGCCTGTATGATGTGACGTAACAACTATGGGTATTTAAAAATTTTAGTGTAGTTTGAACGCACATAGATCTATGGATATCAAATGTTTTTATGTTGTTTACATCTTTATTTACGGACTATTGGAGTTTACTATCATTAAATTAGGAAAAATTGTGTTAATGCACGGCGTAGGATACCGTCGGGCGGGATTCGACATTTTCTGGAGTGGATTCGTTTCAGCGTAGGCGCCAATCAAACCAACACTGGTTCCAAGTACAACTTTATGAGCTCTACCGGTTCCAAAAATAATATTTCCGAAAAAACGGTTTCTCCACCCAGAGCACCTAAGAAACCTGAGAAAAATCGGGGCGGATTCGTTCTATAATCAGCGACCGCGATTTTAACACTGGTTCCAGATCAAACTCCACAAGCTTTATCGGATCCAATCGTAAAAAAATTTTCACCCACACCCTCACACCCTAGGTGGGTGAAAAATTTTTATGATTGAAATCGATAGAACTTCTGGAGTTTTATGTGGAACTAGTTTTAAAATCGTGGTCGGTGGTTGTAAAACAGCCCCCCCCCCCCCCCCCCCGTTTCTCGTTTTCGTGGTTTTTTGGGGGGGTGTTTGGTTTGTGGGGGTGGGGAGGGAGGCCAGCTGCTGGNATATCATGCATTCTTGAAATACTTTTTACGCCTATGTTTATAATTATAAATCTATGTATATTAATACTTTCCTATCGATGTTCTTCGAAAAAGGAACTTATATGACATATATGAAAGGGAACAAGTTAGAATCACTCTGAAAAAAATTCGAAAATTTTTTGTCGGCGGTACGGTGTTTCGCGAGACGGTATGCTCAGAACCTGCGCGGTAACGGTACGGTACAGTATCAGATAATTATCAGGCGAGACGGTATGGTACGGTATGGAACTAAAGAAGACGGTACGCGGTACGAGGCGGTATTAAAATTTTGCAATACCGTCGGTCTCTGGTCTAAATCTGTTTACACCGGCAGATAGAACTCGATGAGTTGTACTCATATGAACATAAATGTGAAGCTATCACGAAAAAATAACGAATTGCAAATAGCTTTATACATAAATAAGTCCTGTTGATAAAAGTGATTTTATTCGACGCAGAATTTGAATCTGCATTGAATGAACTCATTTCTATCGATGGGACTTATTTGTGTATAAAGTTATTCACAATTATTCATTTTTTCGTACTAGTTTCACACAGATGTTCGTGAATACAATTCATCGAATTCTGTCTGCCTGTGTAAATAGATTTAAGTCATCTTTCTTTTCAAAGTGTTCACATCCTGTAGAAATGCCTGTTTTGAAAAGACTGCGCCGATTTTTTTATTTTTTGTGAAAAAGAACAATATTAAATGTTATGAATAAAAAACCATAAATCATTAGTTTTTATGATTCTAAAAAAGAATAGTTCGTCGGATTCGAAGAAAAATTTTCCAAAATTCTGTTCGAAATTTGACTGATACCAACGTATGTAAATAAAAGGAAGCCTATTTAAAAGAAAAATATGTAATTATGTTATTAAAAATGCCCAGAGCCTTCTCTATTTTAAGTGTAACATTATGAATATGATACTCTTATGTGTAAAAGCGCTTTTATGCGAAACTAATTTAAAACCAAACTGTTTCAACTTACGGCACAATGAGTATAAAGTAAATATGATGCCAAATAAACGAAAAAGTTATCAATAACTATTTGATCTATGCTTTTTTTATATGTTTGTGTTATATATGAATACATTGTATAAATTGTATTTGGACAGTTAAGTATAACAAAAGATAGAACTTGAATTAAATTTATTCGAATTAATTGACGATTTTGATTTGATAGTTGTGCAAATCGATGATTGATGATATTTCTTTCAACAATTTCAATTGGACGAACTATTTGTCGACGTCTATCAATTGCTTTTTTGTAGATAATTTGATATAAAATCAGACTTACGAATACCATGACTATAATTATTGGTATAATTGTTAAACATATATTTGAAATGAGATAAAATGTTGAATAAAATCCATCTGCTGACGCAACACAACCGTTTGATTCTTGGCGAAAACCAATTGGCGTATTGATATAAAATATGACCCACAATGGTGTAGTAATTAATATTATTTGTTGAGTACGATGTGGATTACTTAGGAGACGAATTTGAGCATTTAATGAAATAATCATCCATCGATCAATTGAAATCAAACATAAATAATAACGAGATAAAAAAAACTCCAAGAGTTAAAAAATATATACGGAATTTACAAAAAAATAATGATGAACGAGTTAAATCAAATCCACTAAATGTTATGATTATTCGAACAAGACAACCAAAACATAAAACAATTAAATGAACAAATGACATACATAGAAAGTATAATGAACAGCCTTTATTTCTCAATTGACTTTTATGAAACACAATTATATTCGCTATATTACCAAGTATACCAAAAACAAACACGGGAATTAAACAATATCCATTCATATATCCTGATAATTCTCGAATTTGACTTGCTAATGTCGACATTAATAGACGGAGATTTTCTTAAAAGATATTTTTAAAGAAACTAATTTCTTCAATATGAACTTTATATGGTACTGTCGTTTTTTTTAAATTAGTTTTTCCTTATTACATTCTGTAGCTTCTTGGAGTATAGCCATCAGCATTTATAGCTGGTTTATTCACACGCAATCTTGAGTGGCAAAGGAAAGAAAAGCAGTAACGATGGTATGAAAATAGAATAGAGCTGGAAGAAATTAAATTTATTTAGTCACTTTGAAATGTTATTCATGACAATATGAAAAGAAAAAATCATGATATTCATATAGATTGCCACTATGAGATAAGATCAATATTCCTAAGCGTGTCGGATAAAAAAATTTTTATTTAGTTTTAGTAGAATAATTAAGTTGTACTGAAATCTAAACAACATTTATCTATCAATTAAACATAATAGATATTACTTACGAGGGAGGTACCCGAAGTGTCCCACCGCTTTAAGGCCCATACTTTGCCCACAAGTAGACCTCATTGGGACTAGCAAAACCCCAAAAGGATTCGTGCCCACGGTTCTGTAATCAAAAGTTATGACTATATCATTATTCACATAGAAACCTATAAGAGAGTGATTTTTCATTTTTTTCCATTGTTCTTATGGTATATCGCCAATAATCTATCAAGATTAATAAAAGTTTTAAACTGATAGACTCTCATATCATACAGATACTTCATCTCTACACACTTTGAGTGCATCACATCTCCGCTTTCAGTTCCGAGAAAATTATACTGTGCTAATTTATTGACATTTGTTAGTACATAGCGAATAAAGAGACACTAGTGAAAATGGTATTCTAGGAAAAAATGATTGAAGCATAGAATTTTGTCGCACCAGCTACAACGAATAAATGGAGATTGATTGCAGTTCTCGACCTGACAAGAAGTCATATGTATGTCGAAGCACACCTGATCAACCGTTTTAAAATCTCCAGGATGTTTGTCGGTATATCCGCTAGCAAACCATGCATAGCGAATTAACCCATGAAAGATTTTAGAGGACATTTGACTGTGTGTTAGTGAAACTAGTCGAATAATATTGTTCCGCGTGCTCATGGAAATCGGAAGTTGGTCCAGCATAACGCGATCGTAAGCATGGCGTATAATTGATTTCATTTGTCTGTTATGGAAAACATCGAGTGGTTGAATTTTATCAGTGGTCTTCTTCGGAATAACAAGACGTTTACATCCTGGTACTCTCTTGTATATCTCTTCATCGCCTTGTCCAAGCCAGGCGTCCGAAAGAAGAAGACACTTTTTGTGAACAATGGCAGCGAGAACTTTATCTCTCCAGTAATGAACGAGTGATTTAGTTAGTTTTCCAGATTTGCTACACGTTATGACAACATTACTGGGTTGGAACATTTTGGCTTGAACATCTAGAAAAGTATCACTCAAAGAAGTAGAAATGAATCTAAATAAACTCACTTTCACTGATCCGCCCAGTAGGCTCATTGAGACATAAATAAATAGGTCCTACTACTTCACCGGCTAGATTTATTGTTGATTGTAGAGTATAAGAGTGACTAATTGCATTTTGAGATTTTACAGCAGACACTGTCGATTTTTCACCTTGATAGCTCAATGTGCGACTCGAATGCAATTCCTTTTCTAATCCAACTTGATCAGTATTCATAATTTCGTTGGGACTGTAGTGCTGCATTTCGACTTTCGCTTCTTCAACAAATCGGTTAGCCAACTGCTCAAGTTCATCTGTGTTATCTAATGCATGCTTTGTAACAAATTTAATGATTTTCCGAGAGACAATATTGTGACGATGTTTGAAGGTAGTAATCTAATGTTTGGAAGCTGAAAATTCATGAAGTGATTGTTCTTGTGCTCTCTGTAGGGCCCAACGTTTCAGGTCGAGATCGTGCACAGGAAGACAACTCTCGCGAGCAGCTTCAAACCGCTCATATACAAACGTCTCAATGTCATCTACTTTTTGCTTTTTTGTACCCCGTCGTTCCACATAGTTTCGAAAGCGTGTTAGATACCGTCTGTGAGAAACTCGCCTGAATCGATGTTGTACACTCTTCCACGTATGTTTTCGTTTTCCAGTAGTTGTGTCGATCTCGTCGTAGAAGTCAATGACGTTTGTCATGTATTCAAGGGAAAACTTTTGAAGTAAAGCGTCGTCTCCAAGCTCATCTTCATCTTCTACAGCGCAGAAAGAGGGATCATTTTCTTCGTCTGCTCACGAAGATTTCCTGAAGGACGGTAAGAATCTTTTTTTGCAACATGATTAGCTAACATGGTTGTTACAGACACAGCGTTTATCATTTCACTTTTGAAACAGTACATAAACAAATGCATACAGACCAATAGACTCGCATACCTCTCTTTCTATTCTTTCTTATGATGATAACACAAGAGAAACGAAGGAGAACAAGCGTACGTGATAGCACGCGATGCCATTATAGAAGAAAAAATGCCCCTATTTGAAACAGAAGAGAAATGGAAAAAAAAAGAAAAGTCACTCTCTTATAGGTTTCTATGTGAATAATGACAGAGTCATAACTTTTGATTACAGAACCGTGGGCACGAATCCTTTTGGGGTTTTGCTAGTCCCAATGAGGTCTACTTGTGGGCACAGTATGAGCCTTAAAGCGGTGGGACACTTCGGATACCTCCCTCGTCAGTAGACGACTTGCATTTTATTTTATATTATAATTACCACATATTACCGATTGAAATCAAACCAACTCCACGCGCTCGACAGAAGTTTTACTGATGAAAGTGGACTTCTCTTGCATACTATTGAGGGTATCATAACTCTTAAAATATGATAATAGAGTGAGTGATCGCGTAATCATTTTTAATTTCTCCTTGATCTATAAATCTACACTCTCAATAAACGGCTTAGTAGCAACTATAAAATGATATTGCTACAACATTGATTGATTGTTTTTAGCGGTGATGCACTCGTTATTTTGAGTTTGAAGTATACGATCACGATCTTTGTTGTTCTTTTCTTCAGATTTGTTATGTACGACGTGTATGAGACTTCACTATGGGTCATGCTATATAGTATTGGAATTCAGCTCCAAATCCATGGTTAACTACGGCAACGAATAAATTCGATAAAGTATGGAAATCTTATGCTCATATTCAATGCGATATCATTGAAGAAGCTTTTCACACTTATGGAGAAGATCAGGTGGCCGTCGACGATTATATTATCGACTTGAGGCAGTTCTTACAAATTAATATCGATGATGAGTCTAAACAGTGACCTTTTCAACAACTAGCTGGAAGTCAGAGTGAACATTGCCTAAGAACAGGAAGAATTTTTGTTCCTGAAACACCTGGGGAAAGTTAAATCGGTTCAACATTTATCGATAAATGGCGCTTCTCATTTGATAAAAATGACATCAAAAGTATAAACATTGCAGCAGCACAAGGAATACTCGAAGAAGGACGAAAAATCAGTCAAATCTCTGAAGCGAAATGGATGAGTGACCAATTGAGGAACACGCTGATAATAAACAAAGATGATGAAGACTATTTTGATCTACCTCAAGCTTTACGAGAGCAGGACTGGAACAAAATTCTAACATTGGAACCGTTCTGTTTTCTGTTGAACTCATTCTTATTGCACCAAGTTGAAATGCAATGTCCAACACGATATCAAGAGTTGGTTTACCGGGGCGCAAATCTCTCATCGAATGACATCAATTTTTATCGCACCCTCGAGGGTCATACAAGAAATGGCTTGCTTTCACTTCGACGAGTCGAAATCGACTCATGACGGACGCATTTGGTAATACTTTGTTTATTATTGATATCCAAGTAAAGAAGAAGTTGTACTAGCTGCTGGTACTCCATTTAAAATTAACGGTTTTCAATATTGTGATTATACAGAAAAATGTATAATTTATCTCGAGACTGGAACACCCGAATGGAGAGATCGTAGAGTAGAGGCATTTTCATAAGGTCGGTTTTCGTTTGTACGAAATGTTCCATTTGTATCACATCTTGTTCTCTGCGCGTTAAGAAATCCTTGATGGCTTTATAAAATGTCCGTTCAAATATTACGTCTGACGCCGTGCATTGGATGACTTCTAGTAAGAACTCAACTCAACTCGTAAACTTATGATTAGTAAGTTTTTGCGATTTTCCCTCCAGAGACCCTACGAACTACTTCAGAAGTGCAGTCAGATACAAAAGAATGCCAGGCGAAAGCAAGATTATTTATTATATTCAGGTGGGTCCTTAATATGGTTTATAGATACAGGTTAACAGCGTGTCCCTTACAGTCTTACTTCTGATCCGATTAAAACTATTTTCTACTAATAAAGCATTGCCTGTTTGATACTGTAACTATAATCGATACGAATATTTCAATGTCGTCACAGCGTTTGATGACGAATATTATTCATGACGTAGACACAACCTACAAGCGTGACCTACGCATTTGTGCAACTATTTGCTCCTAACTAAAATAAGAATCGAATTAGCGATAGTGACACATCAGTGACGACAAAAAAACATTCTCTTTGCACTTTCGGTTTGTATACAAATCAAACACATGCTATGATGATATTACTATCTTGAAGATGTGTGTACGTCATATGCTTATCAACCTCCGTACTCCTCACTTTTCTCAAGTCTGGTTGTACCTATTTTCATTCGTATCTCCCATGGGAGTGACAAATCATAGGACAGAAGGACTCTTTCCCACTCGCACCCCCACAACATGGGAGATTTCACTCACTTGTCAACACAATGTATATATACCTTGCATCTCAACATCCAGCTCAAATATCATTCGTTAGTTTTCATTCCGTCGAACATTTCAACAATCGACAAATACAATGAAATACTTCTGTATTTTCTTGGTTTTCATGCTTGCTGTTTCTTGTACATTGAGTCTGATGGGTGATGTTCCACATTATCCATGGCGTAATTGTCAATGTCAACGAGGAGGAGAACGAGGTGGACATTGCCATTGTCCAGACAATGCGAGGATGCCCAACACTTATTGTCGATATGGTGGAAATCATTGGATTTGTTTTCCTTTTGGTCGTCGTCGTCGTTCAGTTTCTTCAGAAGAAATTCATGAACACAATTATCAATGAACACTTCACTCTCTGTTTCTTTCTTTTTCTTTTCAAGTGGTGCATATTTGTGAAAGATTGTATTGAAAAATAAATAAATATGATTTATATATTCATTTCAAGTTTCGTTTTACTTTAGAATGAAGGGTAAGGGTGGGTGAGGGTGTGGATGTGGTGAAAAAATTTTAGGATTGGAACTGATAGAGCTCATCAATATGTTTCTTGGTCTTGCCTACACGTGAATATTTTTCGACAATAGTCGACTCCTAATCCAAGGTATCTTATGTCCAATCGATGCGCTTTCTCGCTACTTAACTACCCTATAGCTTCTTTGGACAATAGCGAAATGCCAGTATTTCTCTCTACACACTCATATTCTTAAAGCGAACAGCAAGGTTTGAAAACCAATTGATAAGAAAGACGATCGTTATATATGATTTTATTCGATCGCAACGTGGTTGATGCAGATAACTTCGACATTCGCCGAAAGCTCGAAATTTTCTTGGTAACGATGTATGCTTGTGGAGAAATAAATATGCTTTCTGTTTGTACAACATATGATGCAGAGGCAGCACGGTACTTAAAAGGTTGCTTTCAATCATATTCTGTATATTTAAAACAAGTGTTTACGAAGCACGATTACTTTTTTCCTGCTTTTTTACTTTTCAAACTTACAGCCAAAAAGATGTTCGGAACTCGTCACAAGGCTGAGAACAATTCACATGGATCTTCTGCTGAATATCGCAAAACAGCGTTAGTAATCGGTAACAGTCTTTATCATAGAAATTCCAAATTAAATAATACAGTGAACGATGCAAATGGAATGTGTGACACTCTACGATCGATTGGTTTCAAAGTTTCGAAAGGACTCGATCTGACATACGGTCAAATGCAATCAGACATAAACAAGTTTATTGATGATATTCAACCTAAGGATTTGGCTTTGTTCTATTTTTCTGGTCATGGGACACAGTGGGAAGTAGGACAAAAAACCTTTTCTATGATAACAAACAAGTATTAAACGATGATACCATTCTCTTTCATCTAGGATCAGAACTTTTTGGTAGCTTGTGATGATGAAAATTTGACAAAAGAAAATATCACTCGCTATGCCATCAATGCTCAAGATGTTCTCAAACACATGACCAATCGCAAGCCGTTTGCTAGTATTTTTATCCTCGATTGTTGTCGTACCTATTATCTACGTAGTTCAGCCCTGAGTCGTGGCAATGGCTCAGAAACACATGGTCTTGCACCGATGCATGGAGATGGAAATACATTCATCTGTTTTGCTTGTGCACCCAACCAAACATCATCGGATGGAAATAGAACCGATAAACATGGTACCTTTACTAAACATCTCCTTCGTCATATTACAAAACCAAATGAACAACTACAAGACTTGATGATCGATGTCAACCGTGATGTTATTAGAGAAACAGGTGGGACTCAAAAACCTTGGCAACATATGTCACTCACCCATAGAGATATCTATCTTGCCCATCGTGCTGATGGAAATCACAATGTTGTGGCGAATGAAGATCAGGGTGAGTATCTCAATACACTGGCGGTGATACTCATATTTACTTTATTAATGTTTTAAGTTGTGAACCACCAACATGCATCATCTGTAGCTCCCTTCGATCCGTTCTTTTCGAATCCGATGCAAGATGTTTTCTCAAAACCTGATGTTCATGTGAAGAATTCCTTTCATTACTATTCTAGTACGTATAGATTTTCACGAGATTTATGACTGACTATGCTTCGATGCATACTGGATTTGAAGAGAAATATTTAAATAGTAGGAAAGATTTAAGATTTTGTCTGTAAAATGACTCTTCATATGCTAATGATAAGAGCACAAGTATATACTTTGACTTTATCATTGTTCAGGTGGTTACAGTAGTAATTCTGGTCCATTTCATCATGAATTTCACGGGGAATCGAATGGTAGGAATTTATAAGTGTTTAAGAGTTGTCATTCATTTCATTTTCATGGCTGATAAGATGGCAATTTCAATTCGTTAATCAAGCGAGCAGAACGGCGCCTCAATATCGATCTTGATGGAGATGGGAAAATCGGATGAACAACTATCATAAACAAATCGAATTAAAACGACACTTTTCTAATAAAATTTTAAGGGTATCTGTAAATGAGGAATGCATGTAAAGAATAAAACCAGTCAAACATTTACAGCCGTTTTAGACAGGGTGTGTTGACAAGTTCTATCTATTGTACCTTGTTTGAACCAATGATCCTTATCAATCAAAACATTCCGAACGATGAAGACTAAGTTTTGAGTCTTTTAGTGTAAATTGATATCATTCGACGAAGAAAACTGCAACAACTTTCAATCAAATGAATATAATATAGCAAAGTACGATTGATTTACAAAAGATTTAGACATGACAGTAGCTTGATCTCATGTTTCTTCATGTAGATGTAGAGTGTGCGCTTGAGTTGGAGTCTATATTGTTGGTAATCGAGTTAAGCAAAATCCAACGGTGATAATAATTACGAAATATTTACTGTAGACCATTTTTAAATATATTCTTCTTGCTGTATATTTGTATTTATAGAAAGTATTGACAGGAACCGAAGGTGTGTTCTTCGTTCCTATATTCCAGCTACATGAGTCATGTGTACCACTAATCTGCTAGAATATTGTTCGGAATTCAAGCAACACAGCAGAATTTGGATAGAATTCTATTCACCTTACCTTTTAGTTTGATGGAAACTATCACATGGCTGTACATGCCAAGCAGAATTCTATTTGAATTACTTGCTAAATCGATACCTTGACGTATGAATGTGAATCAAGCACCATCGTATAGAATGACGGGAAAATGTGCTGTGTAACAGATTCTGTTGAGCATAGCGTAGTGTCAGATTAATATTCATAAAATTCTGAATTGTACAACTGCTGGAGATTTCTTATGAGAATATCAATGCTTTATCTACTTGATTCGGTCTTTGGGTGAAGTGAAACTCTACAGATACGTTCGGCAGTATCAGCATCCGTCTGTATTTGGAGTCGAGTTTTCTTCACGAATTTGTTCGATGAGAACTCGTGAATGTTAACTCTACTTCGTATATTGCTCATTTGCATTCATAGGTTTAACATCCACTATGCGAAAGATGAAGATGGTATGTATAAAAAAGAGTATTTCGTCTTCTTCTACAAATTAACTGAGATGGCGAACCGAAGCAAATGGTATTGTTGCTTTATGGCGCAAAAAGTAAAGAAACGTTGTCCTTTCTATTAGTGGACAAGAAATGATTGAATGCTATGAGTTCACCCTTCGATCTCACCAATTCTTCGAAGTCTTTCTTCTTCTTCAAATTTTGACCACGATAAACTGTGAACACTTCAGCAACAGAGACATCTCCATACTGTTGTGGGTGTGGTTGTTCGATTTGTCGATGAAGATCACCGATGAATAAACCCATCAATGTAAGCACCTCACCATTCATCACCGGCAGAGCACAATTCAAAGTGCTGTATAGAAATCGCTAAGTCGTATATGACCAAATGACTATTTCTTTACGATATTCATACTCCAGTTGCCTTCACTTTCTTTCCGATCGATTTCATCGTTCACAAATGTGTCGTAGTAATAGCCGTCCTCGAATTCTTTGATAATTTGTGTGTACATATTGACGAGCTGTTTGTTCACAAACATGTGTGATGTCTACAAAGACACCTTTTACCTTATATCACGTCGATATCCATTGTTCATGTCGATTTTTATTAGCATAAAAGACGCAAAATTGAATCGATTTGCGGTATGTCATGAATACACAGTTGCTGATCGTGTAGGTGAAAATGTAATTGTAAAAATTGATTATGCATCTGATTTGGTTTGCATTATCCATTGAAATTGTCTCACTGATGATCAAAAAGAAATTGAAAAGAAACAGAAAAAATTATTTAATATAATAAAAAGCTTTATGTTAGTTGATGAATGGTATTTATGATGACATCTCATATTTATGTGTGGACATTTCTTTTTTCTTTTTGAGTAGATCAATTATTAATTCTAAATTAATCAATCGCATGGCTAGATTCACTTCTGAAGTGTGTGTCATTTCTTGAAGTCATTGTAATAAGAGCTAAAAAACAGATAGAAAGAGATACAACTGAATTACACCAATACAATTCACATTACTATGTAAAATAGAAAATGATGTTCCTTAATTCACCTTGATTTATAGTTTGTCTGTTTAACCCCTAATATTGAAAACGTCACTCTTTTATATATATATGAGTTCGATTGTTTGGAAAATTATAAGTGACGAAAAGCATGAAGAATTCAGTTGTTAGTCTTATTGACTTACATCATCTTGAGGGTGGGTGTGGGTAAGTGAAACTCTTTTTATGGTTGGAATCAATAGAGCTCGTCGGGTTGTATCTGGAATAGGTGTTGGAAAAGTAACCAGAAGCGAAAAAACGAACCCGTGCGCGTTTTTCTAAAATTTTCATGTTTTCTAACGTTTTCTTTTGCAATTTTTACGGACATGGAAGGATATTTCTCGAAATATGTTCTTCTTTGGAATATATCGAACTCACCGAGTTCCACCTCGAACAAAAGTTATCCAAGTTCGCATACATGCGCGAATTCGTTCCAGAAAAGGTCGCATGCGTGTCCAAGATATCTTACATGTTTTTTCTCTGGTCTCTATCTATGATCATAAAACATACAAGGTTTTCGTGCAATTTTCCTGTTGCTGTTGATAGAACTAGAAATGGAAAATTATGTGCACCAAGACGTATGGCATCATCTGTAGTAGACCGCCGGCCAGTGGAAATTTTACGTCAAGCGTGTTTTTCGTTCACAAGTTGAATCGCTTCATTCCAATCAGAATCCGTGGACTGGGTGGCTCGTAACGCGAGAGAGAGAGCGCGGGCAATGAACGCACAGCTATACGGAACAATGACGCCGCGATATTACTAAAACAGACAAAACACAGAGGATCTATTCGACAAAGTCCAAAAACTATTATCATCACAGGTGCAAAGCTTCACTCAGCATATATGCGTCCCCGACCACAAGCAGCTCAAAAGGTACATCTATATCATCCCGCTTTATTGTAAAAACATCAAGAACAGAAATAGTACACCAAATTTAATAAAAACTTCTCTCAACATCAAACATAATCTCTACGCACCCAAAGCAGCAAAGTCTAAGACTCAAACTTGGAATCCAAACCCCATCTCATATTCAAAATGTCGTGCTCGATGTAGTCCCGCTGGTACTTGAAGTAGATACCGTAGTTGTACTATTCACCGTTCCGTTGCCTCCGGGATACGTGGTAGTTGTGGTGGTCGACATAGTACTCGTGGCTAAAGTCGTTGTACCATTCATCGCTCCGTTGCCTCCGGGATACGTGGTAGTTGTGATGGTGGACGTAGTAGTCGTGGCCGAAGTCGTTGAACCATTCAACGGTCCGTTGCCCCCGGGATACGTGGTAGTTGTGATGGTGGCCGATGTAGTACTGGTGGTTGACGTCGTTGTGGCATTCAGCGTTGCATTGCTCCAGGGACCGGTGGTGGTTGTGATGGTGGACGTAGTAGTGGTGGTTGACGTCGTTGTACCATTCAGCGTTGCGTTGCCCCGTGGACTCGTGGTGGAGGTCGTGGTGGTGGAACCGGTTGTTAAAATAGTCATGTTAACCCGTATATGTTTTGCACTGGTGGGCACTATTAACAAGTTTCATTGTGTAGAAAGGCGGCGGGATTCAAAATTTACTTACGTTGTGTTGTACGCGTTAGTATGACAACTGTTGGTACAGTTACGACGGTTACTATAACTAGTATTGCGACGACGGCGAGTGCGATAAGAAGGCATGGATTTGCCATGCGTAGTCGTTTTTAATATAGATTTCGTTTGATAATTTGGATACGCAGTATCTATAAAGAATTGTTTGAAGAAATGTTGGTGGTGTGTTGGAAATGAAGCGATGTAAATGGTAGGATTGAGTTAATAGTAAGGTGGTGGGAGAGTAAGCTTCAAGAATACAGGTCGTTCGGCGGGCGCAGCTTGAGTGGTCGAAAAGTTGAAGGCAGTGTATGTGTTAGAAGCGAGGAGGTGTATAATAATAAAGAAGTCTAAGATAGTGGGCGGTGAGAAAGTCGGTTCGGAATCTCTTTGGAGAGTCTGTCCATCTTTCATGATTAGGATGCTGTGCTGTTTGTTAATACTAGAGATATTCTCTTTACTGCGGGTTGGAGAATGGAACAGGTGTCCCTAGAGTTTTTGATTTAAATAAAGAATGCATTAGAGCCTGTATGATGTGACGGAACAACTATGGGGATTTAAAATTTTTAGTGTAGTTTTAACGCACATAGATCTATGGATATAAACTGTTTTTATGTTGTTTATATCTTTTCTTACAGGCTATTGGAATTTACTATCATTAAATTGGGAAAATTTGTGTTGACGGATGACGTAGGATACCTGCGAACAGGATTCGACATTTTCCTGAGCGGATTCGTTTCAGCGTAGGCTCCAACCAAACGAACACTGGTTCCAGATCAAACTCCCCAAGCTTTATCGGATCCAATCCTAAAAAATTTTCACCCCACCCACACCCACACCACCCTCTAGTGTTGGTTTGATTGGAGCCTACGCTGAAACGAATCCACTCCAGAAAATGTCGAATCCTGCCCGAAGGTATCCTACGTTAACTCACTATCTACCAGTAGTTTTTAATACTGGATTGACACCTGCTGGACTATGCGACCCAAGGATGTACGGTGTAGTTTACAAATGAGAAATACTGCATATTTATGAGTGGATTTTACAGAGAATGTATTGTTTATATAAAATGTATCAAATGTAAATAATGAGAATGTTAAACAAAAGAGTTGCTTAGCTTAGATGGTAGTTATATGATTATGAGGGTATTAGCATATATATGATGTCAAAAAAGAAAAAAAATCACGACTATTTGTGTTTGTGAAACCTTTTAGTGCATCTTGGTTTTAAGTAATTAGTAAGGCGTATATGACACACAGCGAATGATGTACATAGGAGAGAGAAAAATCTACGCGCTTTCCGCGAAAAAGATTTTATTTGAGAAGGCCGTCGAGCGGTCTGTACTGTTACAGACTCTTGAAACCTTTCGCTAGTTTCTAAAGAGGAGAAGAGAAGTTTATTTTGTGTAATGGTAGGTTTTTTTTAGAAATTTCTTTTCTTACGAAGAGTTTAGAACACGCTCATCAATAACAAATAACATTCATTGAAGGCAACTCGCTCGACTCTTAAGCGCATTATCAAGTGCTTTTAACTGAAAATTTCAATTTCGAGAGAACGATGACGAGCTCAGGACGGTTGTCGTCACACTTCCTTTTTAAAACATGTCTGTCTTTTAGCAATACAAGGTTGAATGCTGTGAAATATTTTAGGTTTTTTTAATGGACTTAAACCTGAAGATGGGTGTGAGTGTGGGTTTCATTATAGTTTCAGTTTGAAACCCATGACCATAATGATCAATACACGTTCAAAGGAGGAAATTGAAACGTAAGGTACCTTCAGATAGGATTCGACATTTTCTTGAGTCGATTCGTTTCAGCGTAGGTACCAAATGAACCAACACTGGTTCCAAGTACAACTCAACGAGCTCTCTCGGTTCCAATCATAAAATTTTTCTAACCCACCCTCACCCTACAAGACAAATGGCGGTTCCCAATGAATAATATTGTCAAAACTTGTCGAAAGATTCTGATAATTATCTTTGAACGCAATTCTTCCATTGCAATACTCATTAAATTTAATCATTTCTAATAATTGGCTCGGCGAGTTTTTGAAAAATAAAGGAAAAACAAATTCTTCGAGAATTGTATATGCATGGTATTGAAATCATGAACTAAATGGATTTTTATAAGAGGAAACCATCGATATTAATGAGAAAGTTGATTTGATCGTTCGAAAATCATTTAAATCATATTCATGATTAGTAAGAGCGAGAATAAATGCTGCACTTCAACCATTTGTAAGTTATTGGATAATGGAAAACGTATTCATTTATGACTTATTTTCGTTTGCAGCAAGTGGGAAGAAATACGGAATGAAACGAAGTTCTTGTTTAGTTAAGTAAACAACTTTCTCACATGTATCAAAACGAAATGTATAAATAAGTTCTTCATTGATTGCAGGATATTCATCCGCATTCGATATTGCTCTTCTCAATTTATTAAATGAACATTTGCTGAAGGAGATTCAGATTAAAAACCTAAAGGAATAAACCGTATTTTCCTGTCTTATCTTTGTTATCATTTGGTATAAAGGTGAGGAAAAAAACCATGTAGAAGTTACATCACCAAAATGCTGATATTTTCCTACAAAGTTCATCGTTGATCAATTTGCTTTTATGATATTTTTCTCAAAATCGAAAAGTTCGAACACATACGATGGTCATGTCATTTACTAAGCGTTGGATTTCGTTGTTCTTTAATTTAATATGATACTTTGTGAAAGTAAAACTATTTTGATATAAATGAACTTATGTTTCACATCTGCTACCATTATTTCATCGAACATTACAAAGATTAGAATATGAAACAAGAAGCACTTTTTGCTCAGATACTTTGATTTATTTAAGATTTATTGGTTTATATTCTTTGAACGAAACGAATTACTTTCAAACGAGAATTTCTGTGAGACGTCAAACATAACGATCGTATGTTCAGTTGAGTGCGAGAAACTTATCTGAAAAAATCATAAAATTTGAGTAGGACTCAAGTCTACATCTTCCGAGAACCGGCCAGATATTTTACTACTCAAAACTATCTAATATACACTTTAGTCGATTAATTTCTGTTGATCAGAGTATCAATTAAATTGAAATGAGGGGATCAGTACATAGATAATCGAATGAATTATATTGTGGACAAAATAATAAGATGATTCTTCCTCATTTCTTATCTTCAAACTTACCTTGATTCACCTCTCATCCCACATCCTTCAAGATAAGAGAGAAAGAGAAACAAAGAAGAAAAATGTCATTGATTATGATGGATGACCAGTTTTGAGAGATATGCATTGTGGTTGGAATGTTTATTCATATTAACGACGCTGTAGTATCAACGTTAGATTATACGATGTTAACATGAGTCATAAACGAGTCAGTCAATTTTCTCTACGATAGAAAAGAAAAAGAAACGTAAAAATGGTGTGCGCATAACACAATTTTTCTGTCACATGGTTTGTTTTTTCCTTCATATGTCGACGGTCACAGAGTGCTGCAAAAATACACTCAGATTCATTTTGTAGATCAAATGACGACTGCAATTTTACGACAACGACATGGAAACAATACACGTGACAAAACCGATGTGGAATTACGTGTTATTGGAGCTGGGTTACCACGCACGGGAACGCTATCATTGAAAACTGCACTTGAAATTCTCGGTTTCGGTCCTTGTCATCATATGGTTGATTTGATGAGAGAACCTGATCGAATAATTGGATTTATTCAAGCATATGATGGTGAAAATGTTGATTTTCGCCAATTGTTGAAAGGTTATCGGTCAACTGTCGATGCACCAACAGTTGATTTCTACAAAGAAATTCAACAAGCGTAACCAAATGCAAAAATTATCCTTTCCGTACGAGATAGTAATGAGAAATGGTTCGAAAGTTTCCAAAATACAATTGGTTTAATAACATGCAGTCGTTTTTATCGCTTTGCAGTTTATCCTTTACGGTTTTTACGTTTACAAAGTCAAATGGGAGAGAAAACGACTCAAAAATGGATTCGCGATTACGGCTCAATTGATTCAAAAATGCATGAAAAACATAATCAACGAGTAATCAATGAAAACAAACCAGGCGACGTGCTCGTCTATAATGTTAAAGAAGGATGGGAGCCTTTATGTCGATTTTTGGAAGTTGACGTACCGGAAAATATTCCTTTTCCTAATGTCAATGACACAAAGGAGTTTCAACGAAGGATAACATTGGCGAAAATTCTTGGTTTATGTTCATGGGCTGCCATTGGTTTTGTTTTTACTGGATTTTCTTATTTCTTTTTAAGAAAAACGCATTTGATTTGAAAATACTTAATCGATCATCTGAGTATATATTTCTGATTGAACATCGAATTCAAACTTAATGAGAAGCATTGTTTTACACGCATGTTATGTTTATCACGATCTGCAATAGAGTGATGTGCCTCTATATATTAGTTTCAAGCAAACTGTAATGTGTTGACCACGTGAGAATTACAATGAAACCAGAATATTTTGACTTTATATACACTTCAACACTCTTACAGATCGTGTTTCGTAAAATTCATATTTAGAGGCATCAAACGTTCACGTCTATCTGATCGTTACATTTCACCCATTAACGAACCGCTTAGTATTGCCGAAATTTTGAAAAACGATGCAAAATAAAGCAATTTCACTCGGTTCTTTTTTCCGTATGAAAAATGATACGTTCTATTGATTAGGTACAGATAGATATAGATATATGTTCTTGATATCTCTAAAGATATTTATTCAGTAGAAAAAGGCTTTGAATGTTTTATGCAAGGTTTATCGTCAGAAACCAATGCGGTTAGGTTAATCTGCATCTTTTTCCACTTGTTCATGTTGATCATCAGTGTTTTGGAGAAGAACCATGAATTCTTCACAAGCTTTATCCATAACCACAGCCAATAATAAAACTGATATAATTCGACCAATCATTGTAAGTGGAGTAAGTTATAACACGTAGAACACAAAATATCCAAATCGAAAATCAAATATGTTTGTGATTCGCTTTTCGTCAAACATTTATATAGACTACATTTCATTTCTATTCTCTAATTACCATCGACGTCAATAAACATTGCATATAAAATTATACAATCATCCCTCCAAGAATGTCCCATCCCTTTTCTTTCCTAGACAAACGTCGGATATTTGCACATTGGACCACGTTATATTTACGTCTTTCCCATTCCTACGTGTGTGTCATGACTTAGTAATCGTGGTTTTTTTCTCTTTTGCATTGCTATACAGTTAATTATGATAGTATAGAAAGATATTTTTGTAGAAGAAATTGAAATCATTATTATAGAGGTGAAATTATATAAAACAAAATGAAACATTTTTTTACAATGAATTTATCTTGTTAATTATTCATTGTTCGCTTATCCGTTGGTGATGTTTTTAATTCTGATTCATGGATCTCCAATCCGGATGAATCCAATGGAAAACATTGGTTTCTACAAATTAATAAATGAATGTGTTGACGATTGGAGTTTTATCGATGACTATGAAGAAAAATTGCGGATTACAATCATTCTCGTGAAGCACGTTGATTAATTGAAACAATTGACAAGATCAAAGATGATTGACTCTTATGAACTTCGATATTATTCCTGAAAGTTCATCGTGAATATTTGAAAATGAATCGAATCACAATCTATCACAGTCAATGTTTATTTATACGCAAAATATCCTCAACCACGCTATACACTACAGATAGTAAATATGATTTTAGCCAATATAATATGCGTTTATAAATAAAAATAGGGAAGTTTCTATTATTCTAATCGTATTTGTCTCTTCTAACTAAATGATGAAATATAAATTGCTCAGCATAATGGTTTGACATTGTCAGAGAATGCGCCGCCAACATTTCCACCAGGAAAATAATTCCCAACGACGTACATTTTACTCCCGTCTTGTGATAAAGCTCTTCCAATACCTAATTCAGTCGAACCTTTCCAGATGACTTGTGTAAAATGTCCCGTACTCATTGTAAATCCGGGATTTGCCCAATTGTAATATTGAATTTCTCCGTACCAAGCTGCAACTGGCACGGAACCTGAACAAAAAACGCACACACATAAATAGAAAAGGTGAAAAGTACAATTGTGTGAAATAAAGTACCTTTTTGATACAATGGTTTGTCTCCGGAAGATGCAAACAAATTTTCTCCCATCCATTGTCCGTTGAATTTCTTACCACTATGCTGAAATATATTCCTTGCTGCTAAATCTTCTGCAGTTGCTTGAGCGATAAGATTGAGTGATGCATTTAACTTGACAGGACCCACACAATGCATTCGACGATACACATTATGTTGTTCTAATGCTTGTTGTCGATAATTTTCGATCGATATTGGTGGATAATCAGGTTTTGGTTCTGAAACATTATAAACGAATAGCGAGAACTTTAAACAGCAAATGCTTTTTTTATCCAAATGACTTACTAACACACGATCCACTTGTCCAATCAGCAACATACCCACTTCCATATTGTGCAGTTTGAGTCCAACAGTATTTTTGTGCTTCACTGAATACATATCCTAAGCACGATGGAGTGATATCACATTTCTTCATACAATCTTCAGCTGTGTTCACCCAAAATCCAGTACTCCAATCACCGTTGTAAAGAGTATTTTTCAACTTCTCTTTGCAAACCTTTTCTTTCGCAGCAAGACCTATTTAGAATCGAAATTAAAACGAGAAATATACGGAAACCACTTTCATGAGACCGTTTGTCTCAATATAGGATATGGTTTTTTGCAGAGTACCTACCAATACAAGATCCACCAACGTAAGATGCATCGAGCGTTTTCCAACCAATGGAATTTTGAACTGAACAAGTCTTTGAACTTGCTTGATATGCCCAGCCATAGCAGTTGTCGTCTACCTCACATCGATTCATGCAATCGTCTTGACTCACGACGTTATCTATCGACTTTGTAGAGCTACTCGTATAGTATGTACCTGGTACAGCCGATGTACATTTTTTAGCTGCATTATTAGCTCCTATTGTACAAAGAATATCTCTATGGAATGATGACAAGATTTTAAAGAAATGAGTCGACTCAGATTATGTTGGAAAATGCATGTGAATAGCAAAGATTCAATTATTTACTTTTATTTGAATAGAAACGATTACTGTAATTGTCTTCATCATCACTATCGAATCCAATCTTTCGAAGAGATGCCTGTCGAAGGAGGGAACGTAGTAAATCTCGAGTATCCGCGGCATCATCATCATCATCATTATCAGCGATATCACGTCGAGGATGGTGATGAGCACCATTCGATGCTACTACCATCAATGCAAACACCAGCAGTGCGCACAAGGACCGCATTATTTAAAAGATCGATGTACTTGGCGAGAGTATTACTGATAGATAAATCGACGAAAAAATGTTGTGCATAACTGTTTCTACATACTTCACTATATGAGGATGGGAACTAATCATACAATAATTGGATATACGAGCATTTACCTTTCTCTTTTATGGCTTTGATTGACTGGATGAAAGAAAAAAGTGACAGTTAAGAGGGAAAAAACACGATATTAATGAAGGATAGTCTTTGTAGATATCCTTCATTTAATGATTACTGATCTATAGAAAAATATTTTAAATAAAATCTTACCATGCACGACAATCATGTGGATGCAAGTTTGTTTTATCTCAACGCATCCTTCGTTGTGTAGAAGGAAAAAAAGACAGAATACGTGCATTTGTAAATTACGCGAACAGCTCGAAAGAAACGATGGTCTAAATCAGAGACCGACGGTATGCGGTACCAGCACCGTACCGTACCGTACCGTCTCGTCCCGGTACGGTACGGTATAGGAAAAAAAAGAAGTAAGGCGGTACGGTACGGTACGGTATGGATAAGCCACGGTACGGTACGGTATGGATAAGCCACGGTACGGTACGGTATGCGGTA